GGGGGGGGGGACCGGGGTAGTGGGAGGCGCGGAGCTGTCAGCGATGGGAGTGGATGACCCGGCACGCACCGTCACGCACAGCGCAGCGGGTTTTGCGCCCTTCGTGAAAAGGCAGCGCGCGCTGCCGACACCTGAGCCCTCGCGACATCGCGCGAACGCCCACCTGTCGTGCGACGTGCGGCAACAGCCCGGGGCACAGGCCGAGCGCCAGCACCTGCAGCCGCTGGAGGCGCCCCAGCTGCAGCGCTCTGCTGAAGTCCTCGCCAACGTCTGCACTTTCCAGCTCAAGATGCTCCAGCCGCGTCAACCCACACAGCGCTGCCGCCAGCGCAGGCCCGCCGCCGCCGCCGCCGTCTGCGCAGGCGGCCGGCGCACTCACGCTCAAGACCAGCCGCCGCAGCAGCGGCAGCGACTCGAGCAGTGCCGCGGCGCAGCGACCGTCCCGCGCCAAAGAGGCGTCCGCGCTCAACACCTCCAGTCGCCGCAGCCACGCAATGCGGCGCAGCACTGGCAGCGGCAGCGGCGCTGCGCCGGTGGGGCGGGCGCCGGGGGCGGCCCCGCGGGCCGCGGAGCCAAGGTCCAACTCGACCAGGCCCGGCAGGGCGTCCAAGATCCCGCACAGGAACCTTGCGTCGCGCCCACTGTGCGCCGCCCCCGCCTCACCGCCGCCACAGCTGCCACCGCCGCCCACGCCGCACAGGCGCCTGCCCTGCCCCCCAGCGCCACCGCCGCCGCCGCCGCCGCCGCTGCCGCTCGACCGACGTGCGCCGCCGCCGCCGCCGCCGCCGCTAGACCGACGCGCGCCGCCGCCGCCGCCGAGCCGGAGCCCTGGCAGCCGCAGCCGCTGGATTCCGGGTGCAGCAGCAGCGAGGCGCGCGAGGCCGGCCAGAGCCGGGCCGCGCAGCTTCCCCTCAACCTCCAACGTGTGCAGGTGCGCGAGGTGCGGCGCAGCGCCATGCGCAAAGGCGTGCAGCCGCATCAGGTCCAGGTCGCCGGAGCCGTCCGCTGCCGAGCAGCTGTTTGGCAGCTGCAGCACGACTTTGCTGATGCCCGGCAACCGGGCGTGCATGCCCTCAGCGGCGGCGGGCAGGTCGGCCAGCACCAGTGCCAGGCGGCGGACGGCGCCGGCGAAGAGCTGGCGTGCAGCAAGGCGCGCGCTGCGGCGATCGTCGTCGGACAGCTGCTGCCATATGATTTCGATTGCTGCGTCTGGCAGGTCGGTCAGGCCAGTCAGCGGGCCATTGCGCGATGACAAGTGCGGTTGGCCAACAGCAGCGCCGCCAGCCGGCCGTTCCCACCGCAAGCCGGCAGCGGCCACTGCGGCAAGCTTCCCGCCAATACCGGGACGTGGGGACGGGGTGATGCATATAGTACACACTGCGTCTCCTACAGGCACTTGCTCTGCTGCAAGCTCGGCCGCTGCCACATCATCACCAAGCTTGTGGCATTGTGAATCCCCGCAGCGGCCGAGCAGCTTGCGCAGAATCATGATCAATCAGGCTCTCTGCCGCGGTGCAACCGAACAAAAGAGTGGCCCCGTCCGAAACCAAATCAGCTGACGCGGGCCGCCACACGCTTTGATGTTTACGTTGAAAAAGTCACTATAACAATTGATAAGCACACCTACACGAGATCAACGACTCTATCACGCTTAGAACGTCCTGAATCCTCGCGCCATTTTTGCCAATCTGATGAGTTCTGAATGCGTCGTTAGAGATGAGGTTAGGGAACGTAGATCGTGCGAATCTCCCCACTGTAATCAATTGCGCCTTGCACATGCGCGCAGGCTCAGTCTCCTGATGACACGTGGGTCCAGCTATGACACGACGTTTCAGGCATGTGCTACTGAGCTACCTGGCAGGCCCACCGGGACACTTCTGAATGCCTAACTGTCATACTCCAACTTACAACCCTCTTTTGACAACTTCCTCTGGCCACCAGCACGCGACTGCGGGCCCACGTTGCTGCGTTTTGATCCCCACCGCATGATCGCATGATCGCCCGCACACCGCGTCAAGCTCAGGGCAGCTGTGTGTTCCGATGTGCCGTACCCCCGTTCAGACCCATGTATAGCCAGAGAACGCCATGCGGATTGCGGATCTCAAGTTTCATACAGATTGATACAGGGGACGGGCTGCATGCTGCTTGCTTATGCCCCAGCCTGCCGAACACCCGCCGCCGCCGCGTCGCCGGCGCCGCTGCCACCGCCGCCCCCCGCCGAGTTCCCGCTCTCCTCGAGCCGTCGCCTCCGCCACCGCCCGTGCGCCTCGTCCGGGCTAATCACGTCCCGCAGTGCGCGCGCGCGCCCCACCAGCTGGCGCTCCAGCCATCCATCCCGGAGTGCCGCATTGATGGCGGCGGCGAGGCCACAGCGCTGCAGCGCCTCGCGGCCCGCCGCGTGCTCCGCCAAAGCCTCCAGGGCGCCAAGCACGTCCACCAGCACGGCTGCGGGATGATAGATCAAGGTAAATGCATGATAGCAGGCACGCCAGGGGTGCAGCGCGGAAACTGCAGCGCGATGCAGGAATGGCCGGTCAAACGCTCCCCTGGGACAACGCAGAACCAAGCTTTGCAGAAATACGCACATGCAGCTCCGCTCCGAGCCGTCCGCCCGTCACTTACCCTGCGGCGTGTCCGGCCGCAGCAGCGCCAGCAGCAGCTCGTCCACATGCAGCTGAACGGCCAGCGCCGCAGTGCCTTCTGTCCAGAGCATCGTCCGCACGCGCTGCGCGCCTGCGGCCTGAAGGTCTGAGTGGCTGCTGGTGAGAAGCTGCGCGGACGAGATCAGAGTGGACCGGCTCACGATCTGCCAACCTAGGACGGACCGGGCAGGTCAGCAAGAAGCGAGCATGTTGGAGGGTGTCGCAGCAAGGGGCGAGGCTGTTGGGGTTGTGCGCTGCTAAGCATGGAGGGGCAGGGTGACGTCGAGACCAGTGGAAGGGGGAGAACAGGCCCGCGAGGTGAAAAGGCATAGGTGCGGCAAGGCAGGGCCCCAGCACGCGCAGTCTGCATGCATGCCCTTCTTCACAAGTCGCCGCTGTCAAACACTTCCTCAACAGACACAGGGACCCAGCGGCAAGGTGTGCTGCATACACTTCGGCGGCTGTGCGCACTTGATTCATAAAGAATCACACGCATTCTCCATCACCCAGCCGTACCAACTGCCTCATGCCTATCTCCTGCCTATTCAAAGTGTTCGATGCTCACCAAAGATCGGCACGGCGGCGCCCAGCAGCACTTTCACGTACAGCTTGATGCGCCGCTGCACCACCTCCTCTGACCCCACCGTCTCCCAAAAGCTCTTCCTGCCACTGCTTTTGCCCCTGCCACTGCTTTTTAAGATGCTGCTTATGATGCCGCCACTGTTGTTGGCCGCAGCAATGCTGGTGACAGAGCCCGCTGCGCCCTCCTTGACGGCGACAGGCACGCTGCCCTCAGCCGACCTGTTTACACTAAGACGTGCCCCTGCGGCTGCCCGATTGGCGCCGTGCAGCGGCTCTGCCCACTTGTGCTTCTGCTGCAGTGACCCGCCAGGGTCTGTTGCATGGCGTCCCGCATCCACGGCAGCTGGGCGCCCGTCAAGAGGCTGGCGATACGGAGGTGTTGGCGCTTGCACTGGACTGTGCTGGTGCTTCTTTGTGCTACCGCTGCGTCCCTTTTTCTTGGCCGAAAGCCCACGCCATTGCTGCCCAGCACCGCTGCCTGCGGCGGCGATGCGTGGGAACGCACCAACCAGCGGAGCACTCGCGCCAGACGGTGTCGCTATATTTGAGCTTGCTGCTGTCAAATATCTTTTTAAGAGTGTCAAACAGGCCAAAGCCATGAGCCTACCAGCGTGATCTGCAATTGATCTACTGCTCGGCGAGCGCCCTGTCTAACGCCGCGGTAGCAATCACAAACGTGTATCTTTGCATATAACTGTCGCGTAGCGGCGTTGTTCCTTGACGCAGAAGTAGCCAGGAAGCTGCCAGTGTACTTGAGCATGTCCAGAGCCTCAGCGCAAGGATGAAAGGAGTGAAGGAGAGCGCAGCATGCGCAGGTCAACGCAAACCGTACATGCCAAGCGACGCTCACTCCATGCAGTCTGGTGCGACATGCAAATTGTACCGCAATAAAACACTGATCAGTGAAATAAAGCGCTGCTCATTGACCGCTTGATGATGATAACCAGTGTAGAAAGGAGTACAGTAGCCGACAGGACCATCCAATTGGGCAAAGCCAGCTATCAGTAGCACTTCTACGATGTGTATGCGTGCATGCTTGAGTGTTACAGTGGAGTACGATGCTTTGCCGGGCATTGATCACCTAATACGGCGTTGATGCTTTGAACCTGCCAGCTTCATTCATCACAGCGTTTCAGCTCTCATTCATCCGTGCATGGTTGGGGGTCCCAACCATGCTCGATACCCTGACATGAAGACCACCTTAGGTCGTCCCCACAACCTGAAGGCCCTACTGCGGGGATACCTTGGGCGTGATAGGAACACCAGTCATCCTTTTGCGTCAAACACTCCCTTGGGATTCAGGGATGGGTGCAATCACCACACGGAACTGGCGAGGAGCAAAAATGTGGATGCGCTGCGCTTGCCTTCTCAGGATCATGGCTTCCTGGTGCACCACGTTGTGTCACAAACACCGTGCGGCCCGTATATGGCGGCTTTTTACCTTGTGTGATCAACCCTACCTATGCTCTGCCCTGTGACTGTGACCAAAAGCTATTTCAAGATGAGCGCCCACAACTTAAGGCAATTGCAGCGCAGGTGTCCAACGCACCCTTCCAGCCACCGCGCATAATTGCCCTTGGCATGGCTTTGTGCGCCTCCTAGTTGTGCATCTCCTATGTTTTGAAAGATTCTGTGAACCCCGTTGATGGCATTTGAAGATCATGTAACGACACTTCATGAGAGTATTCGAGTGTGTCTTACAGAGTTAAGCTGCCAAAAGAGCGCAGGCCAAGGTGCTCCACCAGGTAAATGGCACTCCGCTGCTACTGTTTGAATGCACACATGTTTTCGTTCACCTTGTTTGCCTTCAGGTGCGTCCTGCTGCTGCGAGCATGAAAATGTTACCACGGCCTTCAGTTGCAGCTGCAGCGCGCATGGTGCTGATTGCAACACAGGGGCCAATCCCACCGATGAACAGGTGACGTAAGCTCCTCCGCGTACGGGATGCATTGACTGGGAGGTGGTGTGAGACCTTTGATTCGGTGTACGCTTTCTGTGCGCCATGGCAAGGGGCTAGGGACCCTGCTAACAATGGCGGCAGTGCCAAGACACAGCCATCATCAATCAACCAAAGAAACCGGAGGACTCGGCGCCGGCCGCAACGCTGGCAGTGGGGTTCTTTGTCCTCCACTCGGCAAACGCCTGGGGCAGCCAGTGCTCCAACGTGCCGAACTCCTCCACGGTGTGCAACGCGTTCCTGTAGCACCTGCGGGTATTGAAAGAACGAAAGAGACAGATCGAGAGTGAGACAGCAAGATAGTGTGTGTGTGTGTAAGTGTGTGTGTGTGTGTGTGTGTGTGTGTGTAAGAGTGTGTGTGTGTGTGTGGGTGTGTGTGTGTGTGTGCGTGTGCGTGTGGATGTGCATGCGTGCGCTCGCGTGGAGGGGGTGAGGGAGTCGAAACAACAGCAGGGAGTCCCTGTTGCAAGAGGGCAGGTCGTGTCAAATGCGTTGCTCCCGAAGGCCCGCAGCAACATCGAAACAATGTCAATCAACTCCCTGAGCCAGACACCTTAGGACCCTAGCTAAAGGCCTCTACTGCCCAAGGATAGGCAAAGCCAAGGCACGGGCAATGAGTACCCACCCTCCTAGCAACCTACCTTGGCTGAACGCCCTCGCCGTTCCTCCATGCCGTCAGGATCCGCGGGTTGATGCCACGCGCCAGGCCGAGGTTGAGTCCCACCTGCGCCTTGCTGATGAGGTCGAGACCCACCTCCCCGCGCACCTTGGACGCAGACCTGCACGGTCAGGCCGCAGCAGCGGTGTCAGAGTGTACATGTGATGATTCGAGAACATGAGGCACAGAGCAACCTGGCATCAGCGCGCCAGGTGGGCGCACTCGTTTCTGATAGCTCTCTGATGCACGCACCCTGGCACACGCGCAAGCAATAGCACGTCTGACGCGCAAATTTTTGTGGGCTGGACTTGCGTATGCAGATCCAAACCCACCACATGTGCCTTGATTTGATCACTGTTGCACACTGGCCCTTGGCATTGCAGCCCTTGATCTTGTACTCCATCGCCTTGTCACTGAACTCCTTGATGTCCATAGTGGCTGGGGGTGACACAGGGTTGACACAATGTTTGATGTGTGTAACAGCCTTGTACTCAAGAGGTAGTGTTGGGGACCGGTGGCAGGGGCAACCGAACGTGGGTGGTGAACCGTGCACGGGGTCCTCATGCTGGGTGCCATAACCATGATATGCTGATGCACAAAAGGCGCCGAGCACAGCTGCAGGTCCGCCACCCATTCAGGCGTGCTGCAACCATTAGCACTGCCTCTGCTGCCTGCCACAGGGCCCTCTCCCGCGCAAGCCCACCGTTGGTCTGAGCGTACGTCTGCCAAACGGCAGCAGGCGTGGTCTTGGTGACTCCGGGGTTGGTGCTGCTGGGCCCCGACTCGCAGGTCCACTTGTTGTCGGGCTGCATCTTGCAGCCAGTCAAGGGGAACTCAATCTGAGCGGGGACGAGAATAATTGAAGTTGTCAATCACTGAAAGCATCTGCATGAGCAGAGATGCAACCTGGTGGGCATGGGGGTTGAGAGCACCCCAGATTCCCGTGAAAAGGGTCTGTCACAGCTGCAGAAATGTTGGGTAGTGGCGGTGCCACCTGCTTGCATAACACTAGTTCTAGGGCGCGCAGCCAGCCGTAATCGTCAATCCCGGGCGCAGGGTGCAGGGTTGAGGCTACTCGCCCAGGTTGTCCGGCCGCCCTTGGTGAGGGGGTGCTTGGCAGCGGTGTGCTTGATGTGGTCGCGGGGGTGGAACAGCAGGAAGTTGTCGTAAATCTGGGACAAGATGTGAGTGAGGATTTTGCAGAACGGTCCAGAGGGGGTGCTGTCAGGGATTGGGGTGATCATCAGTTGAATGGCCCAATCTTGCTAGCAATGATTGTCCACTGGGTGTGCCGTTGATGCTGTTTCAGCCCAGAATGTGACAAGGCAATTAGCCGGGAACATCACTCCATGCTTTGGGCTGCTTAGCTCGTGATTCATTCCAAGTCTGATATCTGCACCATCAAGCAGAAACATTTGCAGGCACCACCTTGCTGTGACTGGCGCAAGAAGGCAGCGCTGGCTGAATGTCTGGCATGCGAGACGTTTGCCCAGCGCTTGCTTCACAGACCTTGTTGTTGACGGGGTGAGTAGATTTGCCAGCGTCCAGGTGCTCGTAGAACCACTTGATCATTTCTGCACGAGAAGTCAAAGCACATGTGGTTTGACAATGCAATAAGTGCACTTATGCACGCTACAGAACACGTGCACGAGCACGGGGGGAGGCGCAGGCGCACAGGCGAAGGCGCAGGCGCACGCGCGCCCTCTTTTTCTCTCTCTCTCCCTCTCCCTCTCTCTCAGTCACATGCACACGTGCGCATGCAGGTAACTACTAATCTGTGCATCGTTCCCACACACACTGGGTTCCCCAAGCTCGTTATCTCGCATATTCACATTGCAGCACCAGGCTTGCGCTCACCAGGGGTGACGCCTTTGAGGGTTTTGTGTGCAACTGTGATGAAGAGCACTCCGTTGTCGTTCAGTTCGCAGGTGACCGACTTGGCATCATTCATGGTGCGAAACTGCAAGTGTATGCATGTGTGTGCGTAGGTGTTTGGTCAGGAGTGTGTAGATATAGTGGTATCTGTGTTGAGTTCAGAGTACGTGCAAGTAGTGCATGTTGGTACCTGCGCGGTAACTGAGCATAGGGTGTTTGCATGTGTGCACAGGCATGTGTATTCTGTGTATGGGCGGTGTCCATAATTTCTTTAGCATCTTGCGTATGAAATTTCGATATTATAAATCTCGTGGCAGGCACCTGCCACATCGGCGGGCGGGCAGCGGGGAAGTCCTCGGTCGCAAATATCTGGTGGCAGGCGGGCGGAGGTGTGATGGGCAGAAGAGGGGTTGAAGAGAGTAGCATGCACCAATAAAAATTCACTCATATTGCTCAAAAGTTTGCAAGACGCGAAAAGCAAGGTGTGGCTCAGCGGCGGGTGATGACACGCCCACGTCTTGAACACCACGGCTGCAGCGGCCGGCGGTGCCAGGGACAGGGGCCATGACGCGCCGCAACTCCCTGGCTGCGGCGCGTACTGCCTGACAGTCAGTATGGCGCTTACACACCTTTTGCTGGGCCGCATCTGTGGCGGCGGCATCTACACTCTCTACGTACGAGTCCGCATCCTTGGCCTCCTGCTCAGGGGTGTCATCGGAGCGCACGCTGCAGACGACCGCTGACAGCAGCGCTGCGATCAGCAGCAGCTTTATGGCTGAACGCTCCATGGTTTCTGCGTCGCTTACAGTCGTGGGGTCCTCGCTGAGCGCCGCGCGGGCCGGCTACCACAGTCAAAGATCGGTGGGGCTGTAGGCACAGCCGATTATGTCAATGAGTCTATCAAAATCATTTAAATAATTGATCACAATGAATGCGTGCGTCGGGGTGGCGGCGTTTCCATAGTGATCGGCGAGTACAACAGCCTCGCCCACCTGCCGATCCCCAAAGCATCTGCCCTGTGGTGGGATCGCCTGGACCTTCAAACAAACGCACATTCTCATTTATTTTCGTGACCGTTACAGCTGCGTATACTGCTATGGTATGCAGCTGCAAACGATCCACGTCGTCTTGCGCATGTCAGTGAACACTTGATCTGTGCAGTGGACGGATGCGCTGCCAAATCGAGCCCAGTCTACGCAGCCATAGCCTGATACCTCTGTAAGGATGTTGCTGTGTTGTTTCAGTAAGGACTGTTGAAATGCGTGTTCTCAGCAATCGCCCACCAGCCAGCAAAGCGAGGTTGATGTCCTCACGTTGCGCCGCGCTCGGGCCGCTGGCAACACAGGCCAAGGAGGATGCAGCTTGCGACACAAACCGCACTCGCCTGTTTTCCGAGCCGGTATCCTTCACCCCCAACTGTAGATTACAACAACCTCACATGGCATGTCAACCCTCCTGTCTGGAACATTGCAGAGAACGGGGCCAAGGGCGCCCATGGCCCTCACTCGTCTGCCCTCTGGATGTCGACAAGCTCCAGCTCAAACAGCAGTGTCTTGCCGGCCCCGATGTTGTTAGCATCCAGCTTGATACCCTCCTCCGTCACCTGAAGTTGCACCAGTTGCGGCAGAGACGGCATGCGCATGAAACTTGCGGTGAAAGGCAGGGGCAGGTCCAAGATCAAGAAGACGTCGGCTCAAGGGGTGGGGCAGTGCGGAATTGAGGCCCGAACGGCGCGCTGCCCGTCGAGACCGGCTGCAGACTGCTCAACACGAGTGTGCCATTGCAATACTTGATGATCAAACTGAGGGCGACATCCACCAAGCAAATCAGGCGAGCTGCACGTGCAACCCCCCCCCCACACACACACACACACCTCCAGAACCACTGCCGTGCTGCCATTTGACAGCTCAATCACCAGCCCCTCGGCCAGGCCGCCGACGCTGTGAGATTAGCAGCAAGGGGGGTTCCAGGGAGTCGACCACGCTGTGCAAGGCGCCCAGGCTTGCCGGTTTGCAAGCGGCTTGAAAAGAGCGACAGGCACCCGTTCGCTGTCCACCTGATATTTCAAGCGCAACGACCGTAGCCGAGCTTCCACGCTGACATCAGGCCCAGCCCCTGCTCCTGCTCCTGCTCCTGCTCGTGCCTCACTTCTTGTAGCGTCCCTCCAGCCGCTCCACCTCAGGGTGGTCCCGGGGCACAGCAAACAGCAGCTCTGGCCGCCAGTCGCCGCCAGAAAGCTCAATCTCCACCTTCTCCCCCACGCCAAGGCCGCGAACGGCGCCGTCGAATGCCTTTTGGGGCGTTTGCGGGGGTGGGGGGAGGGG